AAATAACTAGCTGTGTCAAATTTAAATTACTTCAGCATCCTGGGAAATTAATTTTACTAGCCTTTTACTAAAAGGAAGGCTTTCATTTGGCAAAGCAAAAATTGCAGGAGGCAAGAAGGAGGATGAGACACTTTGTTTTGGTCTTGCAAAGTGCATACATGAACACAGATATATCTTATGGTTTTATTTATTCTGTCAGATTCATAGCTGTAACATAAATTCTTCTTAATTTATACAAGTGACAGCATTTGTGCTTTTCCAGGATCCCTGCCTGCCAGTGGCTTCTGGGAAGGTTTTCTTGTAAACAAACGAATGCAAACATTGGAAACAGAAGAAATAACTTCCCACTTTTTCCAGGAGCTAACCTGCTCTGCATCACTGGAAAGTGCCTCTGTTGTCACATGCAACCTTCTGCAGCTTGTCCCTATCCTGGTGACCATAGAGCAAAACTAAAGTTTCACTGTTAACTATGAGCAATTAAACTGTAATTGTTAGTGTGGAATATGTACCTTTTATTTCTTCTTACCCTGTCTCAGCTGCTTTGAAGGACAGAAATGAAACAGATTTTCCTAATTAAAGCTGCAAATCAGATTCTGGGGGAGAGATTTTCCAAGGGACCTAACAGGCTTAGGTGTACAATATATCCAGTGTTACCTTGGGCCCTGTAGTCATGAGTCAGTGTGGTGACTTCAGTCAGCCCTCCAGGTATCTAAAATCGGTATTTTGGAGCCTCTTATCCTACGCTGTCCTTCATGACTCAGATATTTTTTTTTCTGCTCTGGAGATTTCTTCTCTGATTACAAGATGGAAATGTTTGCTATACAAAAGTAGTTTAATTACCTCCACTCCTAAAACTTTCTGCCATTCCTGAAACCTTCTTAACCTTAATCCCTCTCACTGAGGCTGATCGTTATGCAATAAGACATTGTTTTAATATGGATGTTGCACACACAAGAGGAAATGAATTAACTTATTTGCAAAGAGAAAGAGAACACGTTTTCTGCTGAGTATTCTGAAAAATTAATTATATGTGATACCTATGCCTGTTCCTCTTATAGAGTCTTGCTTCCCAAAGAGGGCAAAGGTGGTGTCCTCCTTTCAAATGTGTTAAAAGGCTTCTCCAGAAGTTGTCTGGGAACTAATCCTCTCCCCCATTCCATAGCAACTCCTTGGACATCTAATCAGGGATAAAGGAACTGATGGGACAGACAGACCAACAAAACCAACCAATCAATCAACCAAAACATAGCCAAAGTTCACACATAAGTGAAATAAATTATTCGAGGTGTAGGAAGAGCCCGTGCACATTGCTGGGCCATATCCATATCAAAGCATCTGCACTGAGAACAGAATACTCAGGGCTGCAGGTTTAAGTCCTGTCATTTCTAGGAAAAAAACTCTCATTCTGCAGCATCCCCACCTCAGGCACTTAGGGGGAATAGAGGTAGGAAAAGAAAAATAGGCTATTTCCATTGCCACATAAACACACAACAGCACTCTCAACACGGGAAGATCTGTAAAAAATACTGTAGTGTCAGTAAGAAGAGAAAACTAGATGGCAGTCCATCACAATGGCAGATACTTTCCTAAGCTTCTGACAGAAAACTGCTTCATCTTCACCTGAAGCTTAAATCCAAAAATATGCCTAGCAGCCTGTTCACTCACAGAGAAACAAGAGAAATTGTCTAAAGACTTCAGGCTTGTATAGGTCAAATACACACCTTTTCTGTACATAGGACTCTTGCAGTTGTAGAGCTGAATCACAGAATCACAGAATGTTATGGGTTGGAAGGCATCTCCGAAGATCATTGAGTCCAACCCCCTTGCCAGAGCAGGACCAAAACTAGGGCAGATCACTCAAAAAGGCATCCAGACAGGTCTTGAAAGTCTCCAGAGAAGGAGACTCCACAACCTCTCTGGGGAGCCTGTTCCAGAACTCTGTAACCCTCACAGTAAAGAAGTCCTTCCTCATGTTCGGGTGGAACTTCTTGTGCTTGAGTTTGAATCCATTGCCCCTTGTCCTATCACAGGGCACAAGTGACAAGAGCTTGTCCCTGCCTTCTTGACACCCAGCCCTTATGTATTTATAGACAGCAATTTGATCCCCTCTCAGTCTTCTCTTCTCCAGACTGAAAAGCCCCAGGTCTCTCACCCTTTGCTCAAAAGGCAGGTGTTCCAGTCCCTTAATCATCCTCGTTTCCTTCTGTTGGACTCTCTCAAGTAAATCCCCGTCCCTCTTGAACTCAGGAGCCCAGAACTGGACACAGTACTCCAAGTGAAGTCTCACCAGGGCTCAGTAGAGGGAGAGGAGAACTTCCCTTGATCTGATGGACGTACTATTCCTAATGCACCCCAAGATACCATTGGCCTTCTTGGCCACAAGACCACATTGTTGTCCCATGGATAACTTGTTGTCTACCAGGACTCCAAGGTCCTTCTCCATGGAGCTGCTCTCTAGCAGATCACCTCCCAACCTGTACTGGTGTGTTTTGTTGTTCCTTCTTAGGTGCAGGACTGTGCACTTGCTCTTGTTGCACCTCATGAGGTTCCTCTCTGCCCAGCTCTCCAGCCTGTCCAGATCTTGCTGAATGGCTGCACAGCCTTCAGGTGAATCAGCCAATCCTCCCAGCTTCGTGCTACCTGCTGTTCTGAATTTGTTTCACTCCTACATATAGTCCTGACTGAAGGTTCCATGAGGTAATAGCTTCTTTAGGCTAGTACTGGCTTTGTAGTGGAAGAAAAGAAATAACACATATAATAAACGAAGGCCAAAAGGACACATGAAAGATAAATGTTATCACAATAGCTGTGTCTTGTTGGGGCCCTGGCTGTGCTGAAAGATTACGAGAAACTTTAGACTAAACATCAGGCAGCCGGAGGAACAGGGAAGGTTGTTCTCATGGGAACTAGTGAGGCTTTGCTATGTAGAAATCAGGTAGTAAGGTAAACAGGACGGGGAGCTAGATAAAGGGCTTAAAGTAGTGATGAATAAAAAGGGGAATTGGGGCACGCGAACAATGTATGTTAACCAATTAAGAGCTTTGCTTTGCCGCATGGACAGCGTGAACACTGTCCTAAAGACTATATCATCTGTACGCAGCTGAATAAACTCGGACTGAACTTACATCACATTGGTGTGCAGTATTCATTCCCGGCTCGCCACGGATATGGACCACGGCAGTGTCTTTTTAGTTTTCTAGATGCTTTCTTTTAAAAATGCATTCCAGAAAGAATCAGTTTAGGCAAGAGGAGGAATATTTTAATTGTAAAGTGTAGTTAAGTTCCAGAGCAGGTGAGAGATCTTTACCAGCTGAGGTGTCTAAGAAAAATGCTGGTCCAGGTCAAGTTAACCCTTGAGTTTGAAGGGTGGGCAAGTTATCCTTTCAGTGTCTTCTCTAACCATACGCTTTCAAGTCTGGTTAATTATTTGTTTTCTTTTAAAAATTTTGCTCATATTAAGATTTCCCTTTTTATAATTTTATTTCCTCTGAAGCAGTTTCAAACCTGAAAAATTTCATTTTATTCCCCAATGAATCTTCACAGCATTACATTCTGATTAATGTAAAACATTACAAAATACCACCAAATCTAAATGATAACAGTGAATACTCAACACAGATCCTTTCTTATAAAAATTGTTTTTGATGCAGTGTCATTTTTCGCCAAGACAATACTTTGTACCAACATGATTCTTTGATGTTTTTGAATCCTATCTGATTTTCTTTTCAAAATTTTTTTCAATCTTTTAATTAAAAATGTTTTGCTGGCCTTTGCATGGGTTCAGATTATGCACTTCATGGTTCTGATGTACTGAGAGCAATCTGAATTCCATTTAGTAGTTTAATTAAAATTTAGGCATAAATAAAGGAATGGCTTTTACACAACAATGATTTTGAATCTGCTAGCTGCTACAACAAACCTGAATGCCTTTTCTCTTCCTCGCAAAGGTCAAATGCCTCCCTAATGTAGCTGAAGTGAACACACTTAGGGAAATAGCAGCAAAACCTAAGGATTACTGAAATGTATGAAAGCTGAGGAATGATGAAGATAGATGGTGCAGAAATTGCTTTCCTCAGACGTGATTTCAAACTAGCAGTTGGAAAGAAATTTCTAATCACTGAGGGAGCTGAGATACTGCAGCACTCTCCCTAAGCTGATTCACTCAGGCATATCTTTACTTCTCTATTAAATCTAGCATTTTGAATATAAAATCTTAACATGAGATTACGGTTACTTGTGTAAAGTCTTAGAGGTGTGCCTTTCATTCTCAGTGGGAGTAGCAAATTGCAGGTATCCATTCTGATTGTAGTCTTGAGGATGTTTGTCATCAGACAGTGTGAGTCAGCTTTATCCCCAGGTGTGTGGACTTAAGTGTGTAAATACAGAGTTTCTCACAGAGGTTTAATTTCACTAAGAGGTCTTTCCCACTTATACCAAGAGAACAGGGATGAGGTTGTGTAGGACATGTCTAAAATTGTCTCATTTCCACTGCAATTTGCTAGTCATATGCCTGTGCTGTTTGTTTTCTTTTGTTGAGGATGACTTTTTTTCCTGAAGTTTTGCCACATCCATAAACCTTTACTATAAATGCTGCCAATGGACTTTCAAAATCATTGTAGATGATGGACTTGGGCATCAGAGTTTTTAACAGAAAGTGGAGGATCAACAGCAATAGAATACCAGCCAAAAACTTAACTAACACAGAGCTTATATTGTCTTTGCTAGGCCCAAGGCTGTATAGCCCCAAACTCTCTCCTGTGCTTGTTTCTGAGTGATTTGAGGATCTGACCATGTTGGCTTCTGAGAGCTGTCCATCCACTGGGCTGAACTTAGGGCATAGTTGTTAGGATTGATAACTTGCACGTCTGTCTAAAATAGCAAAAGCAGAATATCAACAATGATGTTCATATTGTAAAATATGAGGCACCATGTGTGATGACTGGCTTTATCAGTCATCCTGTTGAGTGAGTGACTGACAATATGCTATTTCTCCCCTGCAGTATGGGATAAAGAAGAAGGAAGAGAAGGAAGCAGAGGCCCAGGCTGCACTGGAAGCTAATGCTGAAGGAAGCCTGACACGCCCAAAGAAGGCAATCCCTCCTGGTTGTGGGGATGAAGAGGAGGAGGAGGAAGAGAGCATTCTAGACACAGTCATCAAATACCTACCAGGGCCCCTGCAAGACATGTTCAAGAAGTAATAGTTGCAGACTGTTAGATGGGCATGAACAGTACTGCAAAGGATTTCTCTTTTGCCCAATGGGGATTTACAATCTTGCCATTCACCATGCAGCCCTCCCCACCTCTGCCCTCTTCTGCTCACTGGGAGTCCCTTTGCTTCCTGTTCCTTTTGACTGCCTCTTTCCTTTCCCTCCACCCCAAGACTCATCCATCCCTTTTTTTGTACATAGTCACATCCAGTAGATGCCTCTGAATGGATGTAACAATTAAAAAGCTGCAGACTACACAACTTTTATTATAAGCCATAGTACTATGTATGTTAAATAAGACAACTGTACATTAAGCATAGAAAAGGAACAACCTCATATGCATTTCCATCCAAAGCAGGAAGGAGTGTTCACTAAGTGTGAGCAGTGGCTTCTTTCATTTTCTTTAAGTATATTTTAATAATTATTAATAATAATTATTAACAATTATTATTAATATTCTAGTTGATTGGCTCACACTAGCCATTTGTTGTTGAGCACATCTGCCCTTGGAAGGGATATCTCAGTTCTCCCATGGAAGCAGAGCTATCCTGTTTTAATTCCATCACTGGCATAAATAAGAGTTCATTTGGATGGTAAATCACACATGACTTAAAAAGCTGACATCACTCAGAACTGTGGAAGAAATGAGTCATCTGTCCTCAGAAGCTGGTATAAGTTAATTGCCTCAGAATCTAAACAAGAGTCATGTTACTTTGGGAATTAGCCATACACTTAACATGATAGAGCAGATTAGGTCAGATAGTTACAATACAGAGCTGAAATCACAGGAGAGTGCACACTGCTCTGGTGGAGGACCTCCCACATGACTAAGTATATAGCCTGCTCTTATATAGCCTGCTCTGATTAACTATTCTTTTTCTTGCTGCCCAATAGTGTAATCAGCTGTCCCATTCCCAGCACTGCTCGCATGATGGATATTTGGTTTCTAGTACGCTCTGGTGACCGTGTCCTGCCTACCCCTTCCTGAACTGTGTGGGAGAGTGTGGTGGCCCAAATGTTAGCCATGGCCCTGGAGATCCAGAAATCCTGAGTATGCCTGCTATTATCATGGTAAATTAACGTGTTGCCTTGGGGAGATCACTTAATTTTCTGCCCCACCCAGCTTCTCCAGCAGTAAAATGTATGTTTCAGTCTCTACCTACAATAAAGACATAAAGTGAGGATGCTTCTCCAGTGCTGTGCAGGAGCTAATTAATATCATAACAGTATGTGGCATCCCTTGATACCAGTAGAGTGGGAGGAAATAATCTCTCACCATTATCTTTATTGCCCTTCCCAGGTCAGTAAGGCTTATCAATACAGCGATGTAGGTATTGAGTAACTGCATAACATAAGCCAAATTCTATTGGAGATGCTGACTTGCTAGTACATGCACTTATTTTGAATACAGAGCTTCATGATCAGGTATCTGTCTTTTCATCTGAAGTGCTGATCCTGGAGTTTTTGCATTTGGCTAGTTCTCTGTAGTCGCATCTCTGTGAGAGCATCATGCCATCTCAGTCTCATAATCTTCTAAGAGAAGCACTGTGTGTCCCCATCATGGGAACAATGAAAGTTTCCTAAGTGTATAGAAGAGATTTGGAAGCCAATGCACACTTGCTACTGAAAAGAAATGGAAAAAAAAAGGGAGAAAAAAAAAAACAAAGAAAGAAAAAAAAGAGAAATAAAAGAGAGAAAGAAAAAAAATTCATCTGAGACCCTTCCTTATGTACCTAAATTAATCATTTTACTTCAATGGAACTTCTTTGATGCATTTGCTCTGTGGAACTGAGATTAGGTGAATAACTCAGTATTTAATGAGTAAGACATTTTAAAAGATATTTATAATCTTTTCAGGTCAGCAGAAGAAATCTGCACCATGGTTAAGGCAGTGAGTTGTGAATTCTGTGCCTTTTAGCAGCATCTCTTAAAAATATTATGGAAGAGAAGCAGTATATTTATTTTGCCCTTCTCACCCAATTCTTATTCAGGTATGGTAGTCCTTGCTTCTTCACAGATAACTTCAACTCTATGTTTCTAGTGAACCTAAGTTTGAACTGAGGAAGTTTGACTGATCTACAAGTCAGAACCAGCTGATAGAAATGCAACTTATTTCAGACTGGATCTACAAACAAGACATGTTCATTCAAGAACAAGCTGCCAAAGGTTTCCCAGAGGAACGAAAAGGTGGATTTTACTCTTTCAAATAATGTTAGTGGGTTTTTTTTCCCTACCTTACATTTCAAGCAGGATGAGTCCCCGATATGGCTTTAATGACTCAGAGCACTCCTTATCTCTGAACCAGTGGTTAGGTATAGCATAGCAATCTTGAGCAATTTATTATTTTCTAGGTAGTGTGTCCTGCTTACCCCATGCAAATACAGCAACTAGTAATTCGAGCCTATTTAAGTAAACCTCAAATAATTGAAAACTCTCCTTTTGTCATAAAGGCAGCAGCAGTTTTTGATGCTCTGCCACAGAGGTAACTAAACCAAACACTCCTGAAAGCTGAAAGGCAGAAGCTGGCTCTTTGCTTCAGCTAGTCACTGGTAGCAAAATCTTCTAGCCTAAATCACACTGACACGCTGACATCCATATTTTTGAAATTCTCAGACTAACCTTTGTGGCCTGCATCCTCTAATGCATAAGTAGAATCAGCAGAAGTGTGCCCCTGCTGAAATTAGGAGCACATCCATCCACATTTTTTCCTTGGCCTTGTGCTGGAGAACTCTGCAAACAAACAAATAAAGATAATTAACTCATTCTGCTGTGCTCTGGCCCTTCTCTACCACTGGCTGGTTTACCTTTCCCCAGCCGCCATTAGGGACTCACTTCCACATCTAGAAAAATACTGTTCCTGATAGAGAATCAGAATTTTCTGCCTGGTGTCCTCCTTGCAGAATGGTAATGCCAATTGTTTTTTGTTTTCACAGTCTCACTGGCAGCTTGCTGTCCAAGTTTGTGCACACAGAAGTGCAAGATGAGAAAAAGAGAGAAGAAAGGGAGAAGAGAGATAAGGGAACAATATTTGGTATTATTCTTTCTAAAGGTGCCTCAGCAGCTGTCCCATTGAATGACTGGTCTAAGTCAGCATCTTGTGTGACCTGTGCTCAAATTCCATAAGCAGGTAGTGCTATCCCTTATTTTAGAGCATTAAAAATACTATTTTTGTGAGCTGAGCTCCTGAGCTGTGAGAACATCTGGATTCAAACCCTGAAGAGGGCCATAAGAACTCTTGTGCTGAATTTGTTAGGCCTCATGTCAGGCTCACAGGGCAGAAAATAATGTTTGCCATGTCTTTTCATTTTAGGAGGTTCCCAGCTCAGCCATGTTAAAACTTCTGTACTTCAGCTCTGCACACCCATAGCAGCCCTTCCTCCCTGGAAACAGGGACTTCAGCTAGGTGTGAGCTCTTAGTTCCCATTTTACTTTTACTTTTACTTTTCTTTCAGTAAAGAAGCATGACAGAAGGTCTCCCACAGATACTGGAAAGGTTTTGCTTGGTTTTGTCTCATACAACTTCTTGTACTTTGCATGAGTTCTGGACAACTCCTGAAGTCATTCCTCTGTTCCCAGAGTGCCTAGGCCATGCTGAACAGACTCAAGAGCAGGCACTCTCCCCTCCTTCTGCCCATCCATTTCCTTTCCCATTCTGAACTGGCAGCATGGAACACAGGCACCTTTGGGTCATGTATGGATGTGAGAAGCATTGTCTCCTGACACTTCTCCTGCAGCACTCAAGCAGGTGTTGGAGCACTTAACAAGACCAAAGAGAAGCATGGTTTGTTGTTTGGATTCTGAATATCTTTTTGTCTTTCCATGCTATTGTTTTATTTGCTTCACTGGTCTGTTCAATCTCAGGTAAATGAGGTATTTTGTTTTTCACTGGTTTTTATTTACACAGAAAGGGTGATGGCTAGACACTGCAGCCATTTTTTCACAGCTCCAAGACCTTACTGGTTAGAAAAAAAAAAAGTCAAAGGGCCTCCACCCTTGGAGGGTAAAGTATTTTGCTTGCCATTGGCCTTGTGAAATTGCATTTATCTTTAGAGAAAGCCATATGAAATCAGATTGCAATATTAATTATGAATGCTACTCTTGTGTTTCAGATAAATAATACAAAATACAAGATCATGTGCTAAATCATTTTGGAGTTCCTCTGTCTATGTTTCTAGTACCAGGTGTTGGCTTAAGTCCCTCCCAGCCCCTCTCATTTGTGAAGAAAGACTACACCAATGCTGCTGAATACATCTTTTTGGCAAGCTTACTGTGCTAGAATAGGCATTGTTAGAAATTAGCTGTTGTGACCTCAGCGTAATGTCTTATGTATCTGAAAGGTGTCTGTATCTGTTCTGAATATATGTTCCTGTTTCTTCATGCACTGAGTTAGTAAAATGTTTCAATACTGTCATTAAAATAAAAATAAATAAATGCTTGTTTTCTCTCTTTGTCTCACACACAGAGCAAAATTCAATTTAGCCACGCATTTTCTAGTAGAAATGCTCCCCAGCTTTCTTTCAGATGCATGCAGAACTCTCCAAGCAATTAGAAGATGATTTAGAGACTTTGTGAATGTGAATTTCATTTGTTACTTACCTGCTACTTTTTCCTGCATGATGTGGGTAAATGGTATGATGTTCCTTTCAAATGGAATCACAGCCAATAAAAAACCAAGTGATTTCATATATTTTTTGCAATGCTTCCCTGTGGAATTCCTACCAGGCTACATCTGGAAATCAACATGTGGATGCTGATATGCAAATAGAATGGTAACAGAATTGAGGAGAAACATGGATATTATTTGAATGGATATATTGTTTTTTTCATTTGTCAAAAACACTGTTGAGGCTTGACATCTAAAATTTATTATCAAATTCTAAATAAGCTTTGCTACTAGGAATTAGTTCTGCTTAGGAAAAACAACATTCTGTGAAAGAAACACAGATGTTTCTATATAGTTTGGTGGGACTATGTTTGCTTCTTGTAGCCAA